AAGTGTCAATATTTCACAACTTTAGATTTGGCTAGTGGGTTCCATCAAATTCAAATGAACGAAAAGGACATTGAAAAAACGGCGTTTAGTACAGAAAATGGCCATTTCGAGTTTCTCAGAATGCCCTTCGGTCTATCCAATGCCCCCGCCACATTCCAGAGGGTCATGGATGGCATCCTACGAGGAATCCAAAACGAGAAGTGCCTAGTTTACCTTGATGACATTATAGTCTTCTCGTCGTCATTACAGGAACACTTGGAGCGATTAGAAACCGTATTCCAAAGATTGAGAGAAACGAATTTTAAGATCCAATTAGATAAGAGCGAGTTTCTAAGGCACGAAGTAGCCTACTTAGGACACGTTATAACACCTGAAGGAGTACGTCCTAACCCAGATAAAGTCAATGCAATCAAAAAATATCCCATACCAAAAACAACGAAGCAAATAAAAGGATTTCTTGGACTATTAGGTTATTATCGACGCTTCATAAACAATTTTGCAAAATTAACAAAACCACTAACCAAATGTTTGAAAAAGGGAGCCAAGATTGAACATAACCCAGAGTTTATTGACTGTTTCGAAAAATGTAAAAAACTATTGACAAATGAACCGATACTACAATACCCGGACTTTTCTAAAACTTTTAATTTGACCTGTGACGCTAGCAACGTAGCGCTGGGCGCAGTACTGTCGCAAGGGCCCATAGGTCAGGACCTGCCAATAGCATACGCATCTCGTACATTGAACGACTCGGAACAAAACTACTCTACCATTGAGAAGGAATGTTTGTGCCTAGTGTGGGCGACAAAATATTTTAGGCCATACCTGTATGGACGAAAGTTTAACATCATAACAGACCATAAACCCTTACAGTGGCTGTTTAACTATAAAGATCCCACTTCAAAATTAGTACGATGGCGAATAAAATTACAAGAATTCGACTACCAAATAACATATAAGAAAGGAAAACTTAACACAAATGCTGACGCGCTAAGTCGCATTGAGTTACACACAAAAGACGCCGCCAACATCTCGAGTTTAGTCTCATACATCGAGGAATTTAATAAGCAACTTGAACAAGAAGGCACCTCATCGTCGAACACGAACAACGGAAATATAAATGCAAACGAAGATAACTTAGACCTAATTTCAACGATGGCACAACCCGACCTTGACCCACCAGCAAATGAAGACGACAATGAAACCATACATACAAATAACGAACAAGATCCTATAGTAGGAGTCCCTATTATAGAATCAGCAGTTAATTACGGAGCTAATCAAGTGATTATTACGAGCGTTTTGCATTCACCTGCAAAAACAAAACGCTTGATATTATTCGAGAAGAAAAGAAGATTTCTAGTCCAATTATCGGAAAATAATTTTGAAAATGACGTCATGCAATTTGTGAAAGAAAATGTAGTACCCGAAAAGTTATATTCCATTTATTTCGAAAATCCAGATACTTACCAACCTTTCTGCGAAATAATAAGAAAAAACTTTAAATGGCCTTCAATTAAATTTAAAAGATGCTTGATAAAATTAATTGATGTCGTCAACAAAACAGAAATAGCAGAGGTAATTCAAAATTACCATGAGAGCAAGACAAATCACCGAGGAATCGAAGAAACCGAGCGACGAATTAAGGAAAAATATTATTGGCCCAACCTGAAAGAATCCATTCAATCATTTATCAATGAATGTGAAATTTGCCAACGTAGCAAATATGAACGTCACCCAATAAATATGGAAATGAACATCACGCCTTCTGCAACAAAACCATTTGACATCATCCACCTGGATACATATACTCTCGATAAGGTTAAATTTCTTACTATAATAGACAGTTTTTCTAAATATGCCCAAGCTTATGCCCTTACATCTTTATCCGCTACCGAAATATGTGATAATATCATATCCTTCTTTTCACATCATGGCATTCCATCAAAGATAATCACAGACAATGGAACTGAGTTCAAGAATACTGTTCTTACTGAACTACTCCAACTTCACAAAGTAAAAATACATTTTTGTTCTCCTCAACATCCCCAATCTAATGGCGTAATAGAGAGGCTCCACTCAACCTTATCTGAACACATAAGAATTTTCAACAATCAAGGATTCCTAAAAACGCCAATTACCCAAAAAATTAAATATGCAATCTTAGCATACAATCATACGATCCACTCTGTAACCAAACACAAGCCCATTGACATAATCACAGGACACATAAGTCCCAATGACCCATTCGATCTTAAGTTAGATCAACTCCTAATTACAGATTACGTCAACGAGCACAAAAATAAAACAAAACTCTTGTATTCCAACATAAATGAACGTCTTATGGATACAAAAAATAAAATAATTGGCAAAATCAATGAAAATCGTGATAAGCCAACATTATTTAGACCAGAACAGAAAATATATGTAAAGAAACATACACGTCAAAAATTAGGAGACAAATTTCGACCAGCCACACAAATAGAGACCGTTGACCCCACACGGAAAACAATAACAACGGACACTCTAGGCAAAGTGCATATGGACAATATTAAACGTCCTCTAAGAAACAAATATAGTTTCGATACTTAAGTTAATTTTAATAAATAGGTAATAAGTATAATAATATTGGTACTAATAAATATGAATATGATAACCTCACGCTTACGCTTACTAATCTTTATTTCAGCTTTATAACCCACGCATTAGGAAACCAAGAGCAAATCTCCATAAGAAAATTAGACGATAATCCTGGAATTATCCCAGTGAAACTTGGAAATGCAAAAATTAGAGACTACACCTACACATTGATACACTACTATGACCTAAATCCCATACTTATCGAAATTAACAAACTACACTCTAAATCCAATAATATCACTAACATGCTTAATGGACACAAAGAGTATTCTGAAGATATTAGTAATTATATCAAATTAATTCAACTAATACAAATTAGAGTAGATAACAAAATTAAAGAAATAATTCCCCAGCCACAAAGAACAAAGAGAGGCTTGATTAACGGCCTAGGGTCAATTTTCAAATCCGTAACCGGAAACCTCGACGCTGATGATGGCGAACGTTATGAAAATCTTATAAGGGAATTGCAAGGAAATCAAAAGAATTTGCAAGCAAATATTTTGAAACAAAATTCACTTTCTTTAACTGTTATTGAAAAATTCAATACGACGATAAAACAAATAAATTATAATGAGAAGCTCTTAGAATCAAAAATCAATCAAATCGCACACATAGTAGAGAAATCTGCTTATAGAGAAAATTCTCTTTATATTAAGGACATAATTAATCAAATTATTAATGTCTATGAAATAATAGACTCAATATTACAAGATGTCGAAAACTCTTTAACTTTTTCCAAGTTAAAAATTATGCATCCTAGCATAATGAGAACTGAAGATCTCCGTACAGAACTTATCAAATTACAAAAACAACTAAGTAATGAACAAATGCCTTTAGCAGTTAATGTTGAGAACATTCTTTTGTATGAAAAAATCATCAAATTAGAATCATTTATTCTTAACAATAAAATAACTTATTTGGTCCATATACCTATAATGTATCCTGAATCTTTCGATTATTTCCACCTATATTCAATACCAATCAAAAGTCAGAGTCAGTTTAAGGTAGTTCTTCCACAAAATAAATATCTTCTCAAAAACGGATTGCACTACGCACATTATGGCCAAGAATGCCAGGAAATCCTTCCTGAATTCCACCTATGCGAAAAAGAAGAACTCCACGAACTCCAAGACAGCAGTCCATGTGAAGTAAAGCTACTGAACTCCGAAAAAGACACTTCTACTTGCAAGCCAACTGAAGTCAAAATCACACAACCAATAATCAATCGATTGGACAAATCCAATCAATGGGTATTTGTACTTCCGGCTAAAGTACCTATCAAATTCAAGTGCTTTGGACAAGAAGAAATCAGAAAAGTTATTGGAACCTTTCTAGTTCGTATACCAACCAGTTGCCAAATAACTATCTCTTCGAGACTGATTATCAACGAAAAGAAGCCTCTGAAATCAGATGCACAACCTATACTATTTCCTGACCTTCCAAATGTACCTGAATTAATGCATTCCCTGAATTTAGGTACACACTTAAAAACCATAAAACTGGACAATCTCCACCAACTAGCTAATGAGATGGTAGAAAACCGTTTGACGTTTAGTGAAATCAGAAGACTACCAAGTTTGGGAACCATTCTGATATATGCTATGATCCTTGCTGGGTGTGCTGTTCTTGGCTATAAGAAACTAGCACCGAAGTTGAAGAAACGAAGAGGGGACAACCACCCCGAAGAAGAAGCCCGACCAATCCAACTTCCTCGCTTAGCATGAAGTTGTATCTCAAGAAGGGAGGAGTAATGTCAGCTCCATTTGCTGACCATTCATATAAACTGCTTAATTCGCTTTTCTTTATTATAAATATCGCTGCCCGCCTAGAATAGTTAGTCAGTTGAATTGTAATTATATTTCTTATTTGAAACTTTGTAACGCGAACGCGAAAGTATTTCTCTATTGTAATTTAGTGAATAAATTGTTTTTTTAAAAACTTGTTATCGGCCTACGTATTGATAACTAGTTTCATAAATAAATCCCACACAACACATAACATCCCCAGGATATTCTAGGAAAGTCGGAATATCCCACTACAAGATCATCCTGCTAACGATATCTATAGGTTATTCTCTAGACATCCTAAAATCCAGTAGATGTCTTAGAACAGGATGTTCTGTAGATATCTTAGTCATATATCTTATGGATATCTAGCTAAGATAAATAGGGGTGCTCGATAAAATTAAATATCCTTACGACATCGCTGCGATATTTGAAAAAAAAGTAATTATGTACGACTTTTTATGTTGCGTAATTTGTAAAACTGTGAAACCATTTCCTATAATTATATCTTAAAACATAGTATTTTTATTTCCTTCGTCAGCTTTTACTTGGCATCGAGTAAACACAAGATATCCTGTTAATATCTTATGGATTTTTTTTTTGCCTATTGCGTTAGTCACTCCCATGAGTCCCACTTTCAATTTCAAATTACCCGCGTAAATAATTTCCCACAATCCAAGCTTGACATATTTGCCTTGGCGCGCTTGGCCGCTCCCCGCTCCAAAACTAGTCAATTTTATTGGTAGAACCCGTGCAGGAAAAATGTATTTTCATCTCTTTCTTATACAAGCTGTTAGAAAAAGACACGAATACACTCCGTGTGCACTAGCCCCTTCAATATAAATCGCTATATGTCATGTCAACGGCCAGGCCGGCGGCATGCGGCATGCGGCATGCGGCATTGATTGTAATTGCAAATGGTGGACGGACGCCGTGTTTTGTAAATTCGTTGTTTTCGGTGGAAATTCAAGTTTAAAGTAATTTTTTTTCTTTTCTAGGAACTACAAAGTCGACTACGAAGTTTTTCGCTGTGGTGTGGAATATTTGAATTTTATTTAACTCGATATTTATTAACTAATTTTGAGTTCAAAGTTTTTACGTGTTTGTGTTTCTTGTTTGTGTTTCTCGGGCTGTGTGCTGTGCTGTATTCTATAATACTGTAAGTAAATAGTGTTAATTAAAAGTTAGAACATTGATATTATAAGAAAGCCTACCTAAATCTAATTCACAAAATGCCCAAATTTAAAAAAGTAAGTCTTCTTTTTACCGGACTCTGAGACAAGATTCTTTAAATGTGACTTCACGTGTGACTGCCAGTACTTCTAAATTTAATGTTAGGGACGATATAGTGCCAATAGTTGCAGGAAGTGCAAGTCAAGAGACTGCTGGGTCATCAAGTTTGGAGAACCATGCTCAATGCTCGATTGAATGTGGCCCCCATCCAGTAGTTTCAAAGTTAAACCCTTCTTTAATTAGCGTATGTGATGAAGCTACTGCAATCACCATTCCTAATAGTTGTGTGCCATTAGAAGTGCCATTTGAGTTACTTAGTAATAATGATAATACTGAAATAGAGTCTGAAAATGACTCCAGTGAAGACCCAATTATTCTCGAAAGCGACGAAAGCACTAATGAGCCTGCTTGCATGTCCTCCCAGAACGAAAGCACTGATATGCCACAGCAACTGCAGCAATGGGCTCTCTCAAATAAAGTAAATAACATGGCATTATCTAATCTGTTGAAAATTTTAAAACCACATTTTCCAAATTTACCATTGGATGCTAGAACCTTATTAAAAATACAAAAAACGGCCTTCAACACTGAAAATGGGCACTACGAGTACCTTAGGATGCCCTTCGGTCTGAAGAATGCGCCTGCTACCTTTCAAAGCATAATGGATTCAATTTTAAGGGGTATTCAAAATGAAAAATGTTTGGTATACCTAGATGATATCATTATTTTCTCGACATCCTTACAGGAACATCTTAATAACTTGAGAAATGTTTTCCAACGGCTACGTGACTCTAATTTCAAGATCCACCTTGATAAAAGCGAATTTTTGCGTCGCGAAGTCGCATACCTGGGTCATATTGTGACGCCAGAGGGAGTCAAACCAAACCCCGATAAAATTAAAGCAATTAAGCAGTATCCGATACCGAAGACTACAAAGCAAATTAAAGGATTCCTAGGACTGTTAGGCTACTATCGGAGATTTATTAACAATTTTGCAAAAGTTACGAAACCTCTCACCAAATGTTTGAAGAAAGGCGCTAAAATCAATCATGACGAAGAATTTATTAACTGTTTCAAAATGTGCAAAAATTTACTAACAAATGAACCCATACTCCAGTATCCTGACTTTTCAAAACCTTTTAATTTGACAACAGACGCGAGTAACTTGGCCTTAGGAGCAGTACTTTCCCAAGGGCCAATTGGAGAAGATTTACCGATCGCCTATGCCTCACGCACGCTCAACGACTCTGAGTGCAACTATTCTACGATAGAAAAGGAATGTTTGTGTCTTGTTTGGGCAACCAAATATTTCCGCCCTTATCTCTATGGCAGAAAATTTAACATCATTACAGACCACAAACCGCTTCAATGGCTTTTTTCAGTTAAAGAACCAACTTCAAAATTACTTCGCTGGAGAATAAGACTAGAAGAATTTAACTATCAAATTATTTACAAGAAAGGAAAATTAAACACAAATGCGGACGCCCTATCGAGAATAGAAATTCATATTAAAGAAACAACAGAAAATATTTTTGACCTGCAAAAATATGTAGAAGACGTAACCAAAAATTTAGAGGACAACAACCACCAAAATAATCACGAAATTCCTAGCACAAGTCACGAAAATATAGATCAAATATCAGTTGTAGCACAACCGGACAATGACCCACCAGAAATCGCGCAAGATGCCGATGATGCAACTATCCATACAAACGCCGACCAAAACCCTGTAGTAGGAGTACCTATTATTGAAACAGCTGTCAATTATGGTTCTAATCAAATAATATTGCAGCAGGTACACCACTCACCAGCAAGAGCGAAAATAATTGTACTATTTAACAAGAAACGTAGAATAATAGTACAACTATCGCAGGAAAATTTCGAGGAAGACATCATGAAATTTATCAAAGAATTAATAGTGCCAAATAAACCATACCACCTGTACTTTGAAAATCCAGAGGCTTATGAACCATTTTGCCGAGTCATCAAGAACAATTATAAATGGCCCTCTTTACAATTTAAAAGATGTACTTCAAAACTACTCGACGTTACCAACAAAAATGATATTAAAGAAATCATACAAAATTACCACGAAAGCAAGTCAAACCACCGCGGCATAGAAGAAACAGTTCAAAGATTAAAAACAAAATATTACTGGCCCGATCTTAAAAGTTCCGTCCAATCTTACATTAACGAATGCGAAATTTGTATCCGTAGTAAATATGAACGTAACCCAGTAAAGATTCCAATGAACGTTACACCCACGGCATCAAGGCCCTTTGAAATTATTCACCTTGATACCTACACTCTAGAAAAAAGTAAATTCCTCACCATCGTCGACAGTTTTTCCAAATATGCGCAAGCATATCCACTTAAATCACTAGCTGCTACTGAAATTGCAGACAGTCTTCTAAGTCATTTTTCTCATCATGGAATTCCAAAACAAATAATTGTAGACAACGGTACAGAGTTTAAAAATACCATAGTGACAGAATTACTGTCCCTACACAAAATAAAAGTTCACTTTTGTTCGCCTTATCACCCGGAATCGAATGGTATCGCCGAGCGTTTCCATTCAACCCTTTCAGAGCACATCAGATTGCTTAACAATCAAAATTTCGCTAACGCAACCATACAAAATAAAATTGTATATGCCGTTCTGGCTTATAATCATACAATTCATTCTACAACCAACCTTAAACCCATTGATGTTGTGCAAGGACATATTACATCAGATGACACTTTTAATTTAAAATTAGATCAATTAATTTTATCAGATTATATAAATGAACATAAAGAAAAAGCAAAAGTTCTTTATGCGCAATTGAACGAAAAATTAATGGCTAAGAAAGAACACTTAACTACAAAAATTAATGTGAATAAAGACAACCCAGAAATATTTGAACCAAACCAAACAGTATTTACGAAAAAACACATACGACAGAAAAACGCTGACAAATTCAATAAGCCGACCAAAATAGTAAATGTCGACACAGCTAAAAAGACAGCAAAACTCGAATCTCACTATTCTTAATTCAAGACCGTGTTGAAACAAAATTAAAAGAATTAATTCCACACCCACAACGCACAAGACGCGGGCTTATTAATGCAGTCAGATCAATTTTCAAAACAATTACTGGTAACCCAGACGCATCAGATGGAGAACGTTATGAACAACTAATTGAAAATTTACAGAGTAATCAAATTGAAATAAAATCAAAAGTCTTAAAGGAAAATGCCATTTCGATTAAGCTGATTGAACAATTTAATAAAACTATTCAACAAATTGGGAAAAACGAGAACTTACTCGAATCCAAATTAAACCAGATTAGTTTAATTGTACAAAAAGGCACTTTCCGAGAAAATGCTAATATTATTAAAGATACTCTCAATCAAATAATTAATTTATACGAAATCATTGACTCAATACTGCAAGATGTAGAAAACGCAGTTACCTTTTCGAAACTGAAAATACTACATCCGAGTATCATAAAAACTGAAAATCTATATTTTGAGTTGCAAAGAATCCAAAAAATTGTGAATGCGAAAAGTATGCCCTTAGAGGTTACTCTAGCAAATACATTGTTATACGAGAAATTAGTAAAAATAGAAAGTTTTATTTTAAACAATAAAATTACCTTTCTAATTCGATTTCCTATCACTTATCAAAATAATTTCGACTATTATCATTTATACTCAATACCAATTTACAAACAAAATAAATTCAAAACAATCATTCCAAAAAGTAAATTCTTGGTAAAAAACAAATTGCACTTCTCATATCGATCTACGGAGTGCCAGGAAATCCAGAACCAGTACTATATCTGTGACAAAATGGATCTCACAGAAATCACAACCAAAAATCCATGTGCAATCCAATTATTGGAATCAAGTAACCAAGTCCAATCATGTCAACAAATCGAAGTTAAGATTTCAATCCCAATAGTCAATCAATTGGACCTCTCAAATAAATGGATCATAATTATTCCCAAAGAAGAAACAGTCAAAATGGAATGCAGCGACCAAGAAGAATATCAAAAATTATTTGGTACATATTTTGCCGAAATCCCAAAAAATTGCAAACTAACTAATCACAGCAATCAAGAAGTGATTATAAACAACGCACACGTAGGCCAAACAAAAACCCAGCCTATATTATTTCCTGATTTGAATAATCAAGAAGAACTACTACTGCCAACACTTAACCTGAGTGTTCATCTAGATGACCTGAAATTAGATGACCTCCAAAAAATCGAAAACCAAATTAAGGACAATCAACTTAATTTTACACCGTTTCCCGAAATCGTCGAAGCCCCAAATATTTGGACTATCTTCATTTACCTACTAATGGTAATTTTCGTCAGCTACTGCACCTTCAAGAAACTGACTCAACTTAGACGAAGACCACGAAGAGCTCAAGAAGCCAATCCAGAAGACCCAATCCAAGAACCAATTATTCAACTACCCCTTCAACATGTTTAGTTGAATCTAATGAGGGAGGAGTTACATACGGCTCTACATTGTATATTTTATTTAATCAGCATATTATTTTTCATTAGCTTGCATTCTGTATTCTCTTTTTGTAGCTTCTACTTGCCGAGCGTCGTCAGTCAGAGCTTTGCATTCACTTTCGACGCTTCGAATTTTAATAAATTTTAAACGTAAAAATATTGTAATAGTTTTAAGTGAAATAAATTTGTTTTTAAAAAATCGTACATCGCGTACTGATTTGTAACTCATGGGTACGAAAAACCTAAAGACTCCAATAATTTATTGAAAGAATTTGTTGAAGAAGCTATCGGTCTTTCTAATAATGGGGTTTGTTTCATGAACAATATTATTCCCTTCAAAATTAAAGGTTTTTTATGTGATGCTCCTGCAAAATCTTTTGTTAGGTATACTAAAGGTCATAACGCCTATAATTCATGTACCAAATGTTGTCAGGAAGGATCCTATATAAATAACCGTATATGTTTTACTGATATAGAATTTATTAAACGTTCAGATGAAGATTTTTTGCTATTACGTCACGAGGAGCATCACACAGGAACCTCTATTCTCACTAATTTACCAAATTTTGGATTAGTTTCCTCATTTCCGTTAGATCCTATGCACCTAATATTTTTGGGTGTTATGAAAAAACTTCTCGTAGCATTGTGGTGTGAAGGAAAACCTCCTTATAAGTTATCAAGTAGAAATTTATCAGTCATGTCAGAAAGTTTATTGCAATTAAGAAAGCACATCCCATTAGAATTTTGTAGGAAACCAAGGGGTTTGAATGAAGTTAAAAGATGGAAGGCTACTGAATTCCGGCAATTTTTGTTATATACAGGACCATTGGTAACCAAAAGTAGTTTGGAAAAAAAATATTATCAACACTTTATGGTTTTACATACAGCAGTATTTATATTATCTAGTTCAGAACTAACCGAAGATAAATTAGTCTATGCAGAGAGTCTCTTGGAATATTTTGTTAAAAAGTTTCCCGTTCTTTATTCTGTTCAATATATGTCACATAACATTCATAATTTGTTGCACTTGACTGATGATTGTCGACATTTTGGAAATTTAACAAATTTAGCGCCTTTCAGTTTGAGAACTTTTTACAAGTTTTAAAGAAATTAATAAGGAAATCTGATAAACCCCTAAAACAAGTAATTAATCGGATAAGTGAAATCGAGAATGTTGAATTAAGAATCCCCTGTCTCAAAAATAAACATAATCAACCAAGAACTCATGCCTCAGGACCTCTTCCTAATGGCTACTATAATCCACAATATATTGAACATTTCTTCCCAAATTTTACAGTGAAAATAATATCACCTGATAATTGTTGTGGTTTAGCAAATGGTAACATTATCAATGTTGAAAATTTTGTTACAAGCCTTAAAAACGAAGTTAGGATAGTAGGAAGAAAATTTAAAAATATTGGTGATTTTTATGAAAAACCATGTCCCTCTTCAGATCTTGGAGTTCTTGAAGTCTCAGAATTGGATGATAATTTAGAAATTTGGCAATTAAGTGAAATAAAATTAAAGTATGTCAAACTGCCTATTTCTAAAAACAAATTCATTGTTTTTCCTTTATTGCATATTTAAGACAATCTAAAATCAATTTAGTATTCATAGCTATTTATACAGGGAGTTTGGTGCATCGTTTGCCAAATTCAACTGGCTGGAAGACGGGGCCATTTGCTTAGGTACTCTTCAGCCATAATAACTCATCCGTGACCCCACGGGTTTTTTTTTTTAATTTGATTTTTTCTATTTTTTTTTTTTTGAATCTCAAAATTCGCCGTTTAAACTTAAATTAAAAAAGAAGTTGTTGGCCTAGCTTCCAAATTTGAGTTTTATTTTAATATGTACTATGGTAAGGTTCCGCCAAATACAAAATTACTTGCCAATAGCTTCTAGTCTTTTTATTATTAACTAATAAAATTTTTGAAACAGGTAAAAATAAATTGAAAAGTGAAATTTGCAATGCAATGAAAAAAAAAAACTAAAGTCGATCGTGATCTTCGAATTCTCTCAAAAAGTTCTCTAAATGGCCCCGTCTTTTGGCCAGTTGAATTTGGCAAACGATGCACCAAACACCCTGTATAGCAAGCTGTATAGGTACAAACAAACAAATATAGCGGAAAGCAGCTATAAATAAGTAATGGGTGTTTTTACAACTCGTTTTACAATTTTTGCTTTTTTGGTTCTCTGGCATGGTTTTGATAAAATTCTTTGTACCATTTCAACTTTAATATTAATACAGATATAATACACTGATTTATGTTTTAATGTTTTGTCTTTTGTCCTTTTATATTGTTATTGGGTATTTCAGGTTTTTTAAAGCGCTGTTAAAGTATTGAGTTAAATAGTTTTAGCCTAATCCAGCTATTTTTCAAGTTTGAGTATTTTTTTCCATGTACATATTAGGCTCTAAGTAGGTATCAGAAAAGGAAAGCTTTTTATTCCACCAATTCAAACGTCTTCAAATAAAAAATAGCATTGCCAATTCATTTTCATCTAGTTTCACAAGGTTTCACACACTGTCCTGATGCTGGTATAATTTTTACTTGTGATATAAATTGATAACTACTGGTATTGGGTATGTATCTTCTGTAGGTGAGAAGTTTATTACTAGGTATCTTTTTTAGCAATATCATGGTATTGGCATGGCATATAGTTATGTTCGTGGAAGAAGAGAGGGTGGAGGTCTTTCCAAAATGTTGGGTCATTAATAATAATCTGGGTTACTGGCCTAACCAGAAAAAAGCTAGTGGCATACTGCCATTAATTAAGGGCTGTTCCATGCCAGAAAAGGACAAATGGGATGTGGTCCGTATCCGTATTATTAAAAAGAATAAAATTTATGGTGAGTACGTTTAAATAGTTATTTGTGTAACTAGGGCAAAAAGTCTATTTTGTTGCAAGCTGCATGAAGTTTTCAGCTCGAGCCTAACTCAAGAGTCGCAATCATGCTGAGTGCAGCAAATATGCTTTTTACACATGTTACACATGTTTGTTATTCACACTAGTAAGTTACTGCAAGCCAGACCAAAGTAGAACTGTGTTTTGTTTATGTTGGCAGTATTTTATTACAATGTTCTGGCCACCATCCACTTATTTTTCCATAAAATTGACTGGTTTTTATATAAAATAAATTGAAACTGCCTTCACAATTTTTCTGGCAACTGTAACTGAAAAAAAGATTTTGCTTTATGTTTTTAAAATAGGTTGGTAAATTTTTAGATGATTATGCACAGGCATCTCTGGCTGCCTCCAAAGCTTGCTATAAAACAGACGTTGATGAATCCACTGAATGTGATGAAAATACTAAAACTCCTAGCTCCTCAAAGGGTAGACGAATTATTTACAACAAAAAATATTCACAAGAAGATGAAGCGTTTGACAGTGATGATATTGAGAGTAGCGACTCATTAGAGTCAATTCCATCCAAGCCTCTCAGAGGTACCTACCGAGGTAACTACCTACCATTTTTATTTTTCTATAAGCGTTTTCACGAGTTTTGGTATGAATGTGGTATCATGAACCATAACACACCACTCGTTTTCACGAAGTGTTTCGGTATGTCATTTGACAACCTGGTTTCAATTCGGTCCGTCAATCTTCTAACCATCTCGGGATGATGGTATGAAGATGCGGTATGAGACGTTGAGGCTAGATTTTGGCTTGTTTATGAAATTATGAATTTTGTCGATTTGGTTTTAGTTCTGTATTATCATAATTAAGTTTTAGTGAGTTTATTGTTCGACAATGCTCAAAACCTGTCTCCAAAAAAGTCCTTCTCTTCACAGCAAAAGGAAACTCATCGCTGAAAATCACCATTTAGCTACGGCTACAACTCGCAAAAAATCTTTGGTGTTCATTTTTAATTAAAAATTTCGAAATTTGAGAGCAAACATCAACAAACAACGACGAAATTATACCAAAACATTTCACAACCTTCTGATAGTTCTGCTGATACCGATCGGTTTCAACTGACATTAATGACAGACTAGAGAGTAACCCGGTAGCAAATGGTTTCATGATACAACTCCGTGAAAACGCTTTGTATTTAATTATAGCTGAAACCAGGAAAGATGATGATTATTATGTCATACCAGCAAATCCCATAGGATTATGCTTAAGCCCAGTTGTACAATCCAGGTTCAAACAGAGGTTAAGTTGAACTCTACTGGTACTTGAACTTTCCCATTTGAAGTGCATTGCTGTCAATAAATTTACATTTTGGCATATTTCTGACAGCAATGCATTTTAAATGGGATGGTTCAAGTACCAGTAGAGTTCAACTAAACCTCTGTTTGAACCTGGATTGTACAACTGGGCCTTAGTTTCATTGATGACTTGATTGTTATCTTTCGGTGTCAACGTCAACTCTATTTGAGGACATATTAGTTTCTATGAAGTCGATTTTTCATATTCAGCTATGGGTACTCAATTGACACCCTGAATATGTTTTAGGTAAAGATGACTCTAAAACCAAAAAGCTGATGAATGAAGAAGCTTCGGTAGTGGTTGATCCATCCAGAAAAGAACATGAAGGTACCATTATTTTTTTCTGTATGAACTTTAATATAAAAAAAATACGATTATGCAAATTTGTAATTTGTTTAAGACCCCATGTTAAAGACGACAAGTCATAAAAGCATAAACAGTCAGAAGTTGCTTGATGAACAAGAACACATTGGTGGAAAAGCAAAAAAAGGCAAATCCCAAGGACATGATAATGGTAGGGCGCTTTCAAGTTACTTTTTCATTGTAATGTTTCTATTGTGTCTAGATCTTTAGAAGAAGAAATAGAATTTTACTATGTATATTATTTGCTTTTAGAGATCCTAGTGAAACTATGCTCCAGGGTTTCTTCTTTAACCCTTTTAACTAAAGGGATTGCAGAGGACATCGATCAGATCAAGTTACAGATGGAAACTATCACTAACATCCCTGTACCAACACACCAATCTGCCTCCAACGAAGAAGTATACAACTTCCCATTTGAAACAACTGAATCATTGGAAGAGTTTGAGAAAACTCTTGAAAACAAGGAGACTTATCTGAAATTTGTAAGTCAGCCTACTTATTATATATAGAAGTTAATTATTTGTAACTCAACATAGATTTTTTCAGGTACGTTTCGTTTCACGAATAGGTGGGGATTCTCCCTATGAATTTATCAAACGGGTTATGGTTCGTCTTGTAACAAATGAAGTAGCTGCAAAATACTCTTTCACAGGACATAAAGGCAAAAAGCCAATAGGCCACTTTTTAATTGCTAAAGCATTAAAAGGTAAGAATACCATTTTTTTATTTTAATACATTGGATTATTTTATTTTTATATTTATATTTATTTATTTATTTATTTATTTATATTGTATCTATGTCCATCCAAAGATAAAATTGAATAAAATGTATATTTATTTCTTTTACTTAAACAATTTAGAAATATTTTTCTGCATCAAAAGTTGACTTTTTACCCTTGCTTCAAACTCAAATTCGCCTTGATATTAAGCCTAATAAATTCATAAAGGATCTACAAAGCTTTGAAAGCATTAATGAAAAAAATAACATAGGAAATTAACTTAATTGAGTTTTTAGATGCTTCTAGAAATGTCAAATCTTTGATGCATTGCACTGAAAACGACATAGAAAAAAAATTTAAGGATTGGCTTAGACATGCTCCAGCAAGGGCCCAGAAAAAACAGGAAGACCCTCGTAATGGGGCAGAAGAGGATATCGAAGAAAATAATCAATAATTATTCTTTTTAATAATGCTTAATAATAATTTAATAATGCCCAGTACCAATTTACATATATAGCCAAACAGTTTTTGGGGAAAATATCATTTCGTTTTTGAGAGAAAAGTACTTTAAGTTAAAATAAAATAAAGACTACCTATGTTATTCGGTTCTTATTTGTTGAATCACCCTGTTCTGTACGCATAATATTACAAAATTTAATTTAGGGATTGTCGTAAAAAAAATATAAAATTTTTAATTTAGCAGCAACTTTAATACTTACAAATGCTCAATACTGACATATTTATTTTCTTATTAAGTTTTCCATGATTTTTTCACCAGACTCTAGGGAGCTTTATTTGAATTGAGTGCAAATCTTTCACACTTGAATTTGCATCATTTTGACATATTTTCAAGAAGGATACATTCAGACGTAACGCCTAACAGCCAATTTCATAATCAACTTAAAGTGAACTTTAAATTTAAAGCTCCCTTAAAAGTTGAAAATCCGTTTTGATTTTCAACTTTAAAAGAGCTTTAAATTTAAAGTCCACTTTAAGTTGATTATGAAGTTGGCCGTAAATGACGCAAATTCTAATGTGAATGATTTTTACGGATTCCAAATGAATAGCTCCCCTACAATAATAATAATTGTCTAATAATAGTCCTAGCAGAATATCCTGAAAATATTCTATAATGCGCCCAAAGTCATCCCTATATTATCCTAAAAATATCCCGAATAATCCTAAAAAGGTTGTCACAGGATGTCATGAAGATATCTATTTTAGTGTCATCTGGATATCCCATGAATATCCCTCTCTGGTTTTAGGATATCCCTAGGATAAATACTATATCCTTTGCGGATATTCTATGGATATCTATAGGATGGTATTGTGTTATGTGGGATGAGTCTATTGATAAACACTAATATTTTTTGGGCAAATCTATTAGCGCTGTGCCTCAAATATTATCATTATTAGTCAACGACTTCGTTGAAAAAAAAAAACTTAAAGTTTTTTGAGGTTCTTTCTCTTTACAATTATGTTGCAAAGCAAAGAAATAAAACTTGATAATAAATTGAGAGTGTCTTGAGCGATGAAGAAATAGGAGTTTGACTGAGGAGACCACGAATTTTTAAAAAACGAACACCTTATTTATACATGGAAGAAACTTACGAGTTTAATGGAAGATTTAGGTTTTCATCAGAAAAAATTATTTCGTTCTTGCCCGAATTGAGCATCGTTTGGTGTGTAAATCATGTCCTAACACCCTAACGCCAAAACAACGGCTTATGGTAGCACTTCATTGGTTAGGCAGTGACATGCAATATGACTGTACCGGAGACATTCATGGTGTCTTAAAAGCGACAGTGTGCAGAGTTGTCCACAGGATGCTTTTGGCCATAAGTCGTACTCTACTTGGAGAAACTGTTTGTTGGCCAAAAGATGTTGTAAGAGTGATTCACGAATTCAGCGTTATTGCTGGTATGCCATTGGTGTGTGGAGCAGTTGATGGAACCTTAAAACAGATGCTCCTTCTGCTCACAAACCTGCATTTTTTGTCGACCGCCACGGTAATCATTCCTCAAACATCATGCTTGTATGTGGTCCATCTTCAAAATTTAATTATGATTGTGCTAATTGGCTAGGCAGTTACGTGAAAGGATGGACCAGGGATACGATAACAGTACCGATTCACCCTCAGTTTTGCTTTTAGAAACTAGTTTTTTGAATGATTGTTCTTGGTAATGACTGACAAGGTGAATTTTTAACTTAAAAAAAAAAACACGTCACTAATTTGGTAATATTATTAGTGTTTGGATTTTATGAGTAGCGATGAAGTCTTTATGAAAGAGAAGAAGCCTCGCTAATTATTTTATTTTATTAAACTAATATTATTAGCTAATAAAATTAGGAAGTTTTATGAAACAGGCCCCTTGGGGCTTGTTTCATAAAAAATATTAGTCTAATAATATTACTCTTTAGTCAATATTATAAGTCAAAATTATGATATAGATAATATAATTTTGACTTATAATACCTGCTGAAGAGTAATATTATTAGACTAATATTTTTTTATGAAACAGGCCAGGGGTCGTATTTTCGAAACCATGCGAATTATTTCGCATGCGATCTAATTCGCATGAAAAAAATCGTGTACGAACTAAAATGCGTATTTTTGAAGGCCCTTCGAAAATGATATCGTATACGAGTATCATTTGCCTTGGCAACGTCGCAAATTCGAGTATTTGGTAATGGCCATTTCGACAGATACAAAAACGAAGAAGAATTTTTCGACATTTGACTTTTGTTGTTGAGAGATTATCAAAGATGCTGTCAAATTTAAATTAAAATGTCTGCCAAGGGGTACACAAACCCTTTGTTTATGTGTGATCAAATGGTGTTATGAATTTTAAATAATGCTAGTTGTGAATTATCTACGTTGTTATACCTAAAACTGTTGTTTTTATTGTTAGAAATAGTGTATGTGAATAGTAGTTTGTGTTCCTCCTGCCGGCCATATTTTGCTTGCCAAAGTTACGTGTTTTGGATAGGCTAATTCTTTTTTGTATTTTGTGGCTGTTTATTGAGTTTATCCATTGAGTTTATCAAGTATTAGAGTCTATTCTGCTGGTAAAGATCTTGCTGAAATAAATTTTGTGCACCTAATCGTTGGGATTTCCTTGAACGTCCTTGTTTTTCATAACGTTAACGAACAATCATGGTTTTTGGAGGGCTTGTGTAAGCAGAGCAAAAGAAATGTTTGATTAGCTTCACGGGGGAGCATCCAGAACTAAAAATCAGGAAAATTCAGCTTCCAGGTGCTAAAAAAAATTAGAAACATTAACGCAAAGTAAGCAGATCAACCAAAGTTCTTCGAGGCCATCAATAACATTTCTTTCGATCAAATAAACCAAGCCAGCCATTCCAAATATTTTTTAATTAAGCAGGAAAATTTAATCCGCAAATCATTTGGAAACGAATGAAAAGTCAAGGAGAACGAACAACGAACAACGAACACAATTTTCAATTTGCACAACGTATTTAGGTAGGTACCTACACAAACAACAAATATATCGTGTATAAACAAAATAAAGCACATCAAAATTCCAAACAATGCGCAGAATCAAGTAAAATCGCATGCGAAATGTGACATTCGACTGGTGGAGACCCACTCGAGTAAACGTACACGAACCAAATCGTGTACGGACCGTTCGAAAGTGATTCGAAAATACGGAACCTCAATTTTCATGCGAATTTCGCCTAAATCCGCATACGAACGGCATTCGAAAATACGACCCCAGAACACAAATGTGCACAAATGCTCTCCTTATGAACGTCACCGGCTTGTCAGCCCTGTCACCGCAATATTTGGAATTTCAAGGTTATGTATGTTGGCTTGAGTAATTCAAGCTCTAGTCTAGAAGAGTGTGTTGCTTTACCAACGGAAATCTAGAACAGACCCTTCATGTACCAGGCGAAGACCTTGGTAACAGGGAATCGATAATAGTATATTATATACCTAGGTAGAGAAGTTGGTCATTATATACCGAGCACTTTTATAAACCGAGAGGTTTATAATGTGTAAGGTATATAATGACTTTCTCTACCGAGGAATATATAGAATTTTTTTTACTACTACTAGTAGAAAATAAAAAAAATATTCAAAATCTGTGCTCTTAATTATTTTTTTGAACGCCCTTTTGAAAGTGCTGCCCTCTAACAACAGCTTATGATAACTTCCTATATGTACCTACAGAAACCTGTATTTTTTTTGAATTGACGTATGAAATTGAAATTGGACCAATAGAAACATGACAATATCCTTGCATCATGACGTCATTTTCATTATTGACCTAGGTATTTTTTCATTATTTTCATTATTAACCTAGGGAGAGAAATTCAATTTTTTCCTAAAAAAATAGATTGAATAATGACTATTTCTCAGGTTAGTAGTAAAAAAAAAACAATTGTATTGAAAGAGACAGATTTGTATGTCACATGTTAAAAAAAAAGTTGTAAAAAAGAATAAAATCTAGCAAAATCCAACATCAGAAGTGGGATACCTCTTTGTGCAGTGATCAAAGTAGGAAAGAACCTTGAAACAGTGTCTTTTGTCCGCGTTTTGAATCGAAATAAAAATGGCAGACTTCGCCGACGGTGAACAGCCCGATTGTGAACGCTCAAATAGCCCATCCATTACCAGCGACAGTGAAAGTGCATCAATGAACAATCAAATGATGTTGCTTTTCAAAAAGCAACAAGAAAATAGTATCAATTTTCAAAATCAAATAATGCAGATTTTATCCACAATGGCCAACGCCCAAATTACTCAAGCCGAAGCAGCACTGCAATTGACAGTGGCAAATGCGAAGACGCAGGATTAGTCCTCTGCTACGACTGCCCCCGACGTTATTGCAGTGGCATCGTCGGAAATTCGTTTGACAAGTTTTGATCCAGATGACAATCCGTTTACCTGGGGTGCGTTCAAGGACAGCAATGCTAATGCCAAAACCTACTTTACCCCCTCCACCGGTAATGCCGAACCACGTAGGTTGGAGCCGAGCTCGAACGCAAAATGCCAATTTTGGCTTGGCTGTAGCTATTCCTGA